AATAAAAATCACATATTCATGCTAAGGTTCAAGGCTTCACCCTAGCAAAAGAGAATTAGTTACGCATATTCATAACTAAAATCAAAGAAAATATCATTTCAATGAATAAGAATAAAAACACCTTGAAGTAGAAGTTCTTCAAAAACCCTAACCCACAATGTCACGTTCAAAAGCCAAAAGAGAAGTCCTAAAAATTCTGTGAAAAAGAACTTAAATACCTCCTAAAACCTAGCTGCTCAATCCCCACAAGGAAACTAAGTTAAAATAAGATAATACTATGATATAATTAAGTCCAAGTTGGATTAGGAGAATCTGCCCACAATCTGCCCAGCCACGTTTTGGCCTCAAATCTCCTCCAAATCCTGCCCAAGATAGCTTGTTTTAAAGATGCCACGTTTTGGCCTCAAATCTCCTCCAAATCCTGCCCAAGATAGCTTGTTTTAAAGATAAAAACGTTCTAAACACTTCTCCAGAAGGCCACGAACCCATCTGAGGTCATCTTGGGCTCCAAAAATGCAATAAAGGCCCAAAACGTCACTATTCCAGCACCACGCATTGCTCCTTTATTTTATTGCCAGAAAATAACTGCTTGGTAGAAAAATATGAAATTTTGATACGATCAAGCTAAGTGACTCACGAACGTCTTCCAACTGGAATTACTCCAAAATTCGTCCATTTGATTATGTTTTGCTCCAGAGAAAGTCGAAAGTCCTATATTGGAAATATAATTCAAAGTACCAAAATTCTTCCAAAATATTAACCAAAATATACTAAGAATGGAGTTAAATATATAATATAAAATATACTCATCAGGGCACTCTGGGTCACTTTAAATATTAGAGGGTAAAATGAGATTTGACTATAATTTCAAGGGCACTACAGTCTATAAGCCTTTAAAAAATTCAATATTTTTCGTCAATGTACTTCCTTATTTTACCCATATTTTTAACTTAAAATTTTTCAAAAAACATTTGAACCAACAAACAACCCTCCCCATAAAATACAAAAATGACTAAAACAAAAAAAAAAACAAAAAAAAACAAAATTATCAAAGCATAAAGCCTATAAAAGGAATGATAATAAGGAGAGAGGTGGCTTGGTCTCAAAGAGAGGCAAGTGAGGGGGAGCCCACCATAAAATGATCAAATAGGAACAGTTAAATGAAAACAAAGGTTGGTCTGTGGACCAGCTGTTCAATGCTTAATCCTCCAAATTAGACTTGCAGTCAGCAAAATGTAGGTTGAGTTTCAGTTTAACCAACTCTAACACCCACTCCATCATATTCATAATCATTCTTTTCTTATAAATTTCTCCCCACGTACCAAACTAGAACAACAGTATTGGATCAAAATTTTCCACATTTGAATCATTCTTGCTTAACTTGTTCCTAAAGCCAGCCCCAATTTCGAACTGATATAATACACCACATTGTGTTTCCATGGCTTCTAAGTCCAACAAAACAAGGCTTAGGCTTTGTAGTTTTGTCTATGAAGGGATGAAGGATCGCATTGAAAGATTTGCTGTTCTTCCTTTTGGCATTGGCTGCGCTTCTCAGTCCAGCGTTGCCATTGGCACAAGTGATGATCAAACAAGAAAACCAAAAGCAGAAACACAAAACCCACCTCCACATGTAACAAGTATGTTCTCTCTCTCTCTCTCTCTCTCTCTAAAGTTGATATTGGTGTTAATTTGAGACTATATGGTGTTTTGATAAGGAAGACGACGGAAAAGCACAAGGAGCAAAAGTGAAGAACATTCATCGTTTTCTGAATCTTAGGAAGAGTCACATTTCCAGTGGGATTGAAAGATTGATCAGAAGCATCAAAAGTTTGTCTCAAATATTTGGTAAGCCGATGATTAATTCAATGCCTAATTATAGATATATGCATGCTCTAAACATGTTTTATTACTTTTTCCTTAGATGGTTCTTAAAATGAAAGGCTTAAGAGTTAATGAAATGTTCCGTAATCACCTTATAGAGTGCGTTGCAAGTTCAAAAAATGTTGACTTTAAAGAAGTACTGGAATACGACAACATGGTATAACTTGCTCACGCATTATAATATGGGTGTCCGACATGGTTATCCACTTATAACATATACCACATGATTGTACTTGAATATACCACACATGTACATCCACCCGTTTTAAAGCCCTAATTAACCCATGAGATAGCCGACACAATTAGCTGTACCAACTGATTTAAGAAAAAAATACAGAAATTAGGTGTACCAAGAAACTTTTTTTGTTTTGGTCTCATCCTAAGGAATTTATGCAATGAAGAATTTCCATATGAAAAATATATTATAACATATGTTATTTTATTTCTAATTAGTTGTTTAATATCTATATTACATATATATATATATGGTTGTTCAGTTTACAAGGAAGAGATTGAGGAAGAAGAGGAGAGAGAGATGGAAATTGGGTTGCCCACAGATGTGAAGCATGTGACACACATAGGATTGGATGGGTCAACAACTACCAATACAAACGGATCCATAAAAGGCAGCTGGGAAAATTTCAACAATGCTCCAGAAATACTCTCTTTCCCTTCAATTTCTTTAAAGCAGTTTGAGTTCGCCATGGCTGCACAGACCACCCACCAGCCTCAGCCGCTCCTTGTTGATGATCGAAGGACGCCCACAGATGTTAATTAATTTTAATTAATCGAAGCTAGAGCATGCTGTGATGTGTTTTGATTATCTTAATCATCATGTCCACGTCAACTAATTAATTACAGATTAAGCATGCATGGTTTGGACTGTTGAATTTCTGAGGAGGTGGGGGTGGGGTGATGATCATGTCAAGATCAGTTCATGTTGAATTTTTATTGATGGAAATTGATTAGGGTGCGTGGAGTGACATTAGTGGAGCTTAGAATATTCATATACTGAATCATTTTCATAGTCTTTGCGATGTTAAATTGACCACCCGCACATCAAGGTGTTAAGGATTGTTTTTGCAGAAATTAAGAAAGCCCAAGGGTTGATTTGGATGTAAGGAAATAAGATTATGGATTTGATTATGAGTTTTTTAGTGTAAAAATTACTTAATCGATCGAATTTCCGAAATATTAATTTATACATTAATAGTATAGTCAGACTTGTTGATACCTAAAATTGGTTCAACACATATCGACATCGAGGTCGGACAATTCTTCCAAACCATTGTCGCCACTTGGCATTGAGTTAAGTAGTTTTGGAAGAGAATTTGGCCTAGTCAAAGATGAAGAGAGAATTTGGACTTATCCTTGTCTTGTTTGTTTGAAGAACAGCTTTGGGCTGGATAGACCGAGGAATGTAAGAGGCATTTGTTCACACCCAAAATTTGTCTATGAACACCAATTTCTTTAAACACCTATGCCAAAATTGAAAAGTTTTGAACTTATCTCCAAATACCCTAAATTTTTTTTTGTTGGGCCGCTTACGGCCAAATTCAAAATCATTTGTGTCTCACGAGGGCTTGTAGCTTAAGTGATTACATCCAAAGTCCTAGACTCGATTCCACCTTTCTCAATGTCGTTTACGTCTCAATTAATCTTTTGTTTTTTTGTTCAAATCTAATCCATAACGCAATTATTGGACATAACAAAAGTGGATAAGTCCTGCAGCGTCAGCCTTGTGCAGCATACCCTGATCTTGTGGATAAAAGGAACCTTTTGTGTGTGCGCCTGTAGTGCGATTGATTGGTCTGGCAATTTGCATTTGCCATTTGGGCCGACTTTCCAATAGCATAATATTTTTCCATTTTCTAAACCAAAAAAAAAAAAACATAAATTAGAGAATAATGAAATTGTACATGGTTTAAAGG